CTGTAGTGGAAGAGCAAACCACAACTGAAAATATCAGACTCCTTGCTATACTTGCTTTGACTGTCATTTGCAAAGAGTTCCGGAGCTTTCCAACACTTTGTTCCAACCCTTGAGTGCATTACTGTGTCACTTGAACCAAAAGATTGCGTCTTCTTAAGAATTTTGCTGAGCCCAAAATCTGCGATTTTCATCGTTAGTGACGGCGTAGTTTTGTACAAGATGTTCTGCGGTTTTAAATCTCTGTGGATAACTTCATTTTTGTGTAGATACTCTACACCAGAGTATATGTCAAAACAGATCCAAACCGCATTTCCTCCCTCATGTTCCGTGCAGAGATATTCATCCAACGTTCCTTCCATTAGTTCAACAACAATGTATTGGAAGTCGGAGCTGCTAAAGCTGCAAATGTAGTTTACCACAGCTGGACAATCCTTAAGTTTCATGAGACATTCAATCTCCCTTCTGAAGTTCGCATCTTCTAACCTGGCTTTTTCTAGTCGCTTTAAGGCTAATTCTCTCCCATCTCTTTCATCCAGAGCAGGAAAGACTAACGAAAACGAGCCTTTGCCAATATAGCGTTTGTGGTGATAATAGCTTTCAACTCTTTGACAGTTTTGGCCACAGGAAATGTCACAGAGTGCATCCTTGTGCTTTTCGGACTCCTTGCGCCACTTCATAATGGGTGAAATTGGCTCTTTCTCAATACCTATTCGCAGTAATCTCTTTAGGTCCTCATGCCCATTGAGCAACGCCTGGCACGTGTTTTCATCAGCATCTGGTATTTTGGGATCAGCGTGGTATTTCCGTAGTAAAAGGATGGAGTTTTGGATGTTTTTCAGCGGCAATCCTCCCACCCTGCTGCATACCAAACACAACGGCGTCTGCAAACGATGGTTTTGTTTGTTCACGTCAAACCCTTTTTGAAGCATATACTCACAGATGGCCTCAGCTTGAGTGATACAAGCCAAGTGCAGTGGGGAGTTCCCTTCGGAATCTTTAAAACATCGTACAGATTCAAACGTTTCTTTATCACAGTGTTCGAAAATTACTTTCAGTAGCCTCAACGAGCTTTTCAGAAAGCCCTTTTCTAAGAGAACTTGAAATGGGCATACTCCATCATCATTTTTCACCCATGGATCTATTCCATAGTAAAAGCACTTCTTCCATCGACCCACCTTTATCTTATCTGTTATTAAAGTCTCTCTGTTAACGAACTTGTGTAAAGAGGTTTCTCCGCTGAGGTCTTGCGTGTTTGGCTGTGCTCCTTTTCTTAGTAACAAATCTACCTGTTCCCAGAACTGTGCGAGATGCAGCGGTGTCTCCCCGCTGTCATTTCTTGAATTGACGGCTCCTCCGCAGTCGATTATTCTATTTCCAACTTCCTCGTTGTTTTTGTTCTTAACTGGTAATCTCGCCCATAGATGCAGTGGAGTGTTCCCGTCAGCATCTCTACAGTTAATTGCGCATCCATGTTTGTGAAAGAGTTCAATGCCTTCGCATAGAGTTTTACATGTAGGTGATAGTTTGCGAGATGGGCTTACAAGTATATGAAGCGGAGATCTATCAAAGTCGTCTTTGGTTTTGGCCCTAGCTCCGGATTCTAAGAGACAACGCCAAATTTCTAGCAAATGATCCTTATTCCTTATGGCCTCAAATGTCGACAAACTCTTTGCAAGTGGAGTTTCTCCACAGTTATTTTTCAAATTGGGATTAGCTCCTCTAACAAGTAAAAAGTTAACGAATACTTCTATTTGAGAAGAGGGACGAGTCAGCCACTCGCTTACAGCTTGAAAAAGAGTTGTACACCCTGAATCATCCGTCTGGTCGATGTAGGCACCTTTAGCGATAAGAAAGCGAGCCAGCGGCACGTTGGGTATAGCGAACATCAAGTAGGGATAACCTTCCACTTCGCCGCTGAATGAGCTTCCAGTTTCTTTCATTAATTCTTCCACAGTGTCACGAATTGCAATTTCGTTCCAGCATGAAAACAGTGGAGGATGATCTAATCTTGCATTGGCCCGTATCGTTCGTAATATTCCCTCTAGAAGTTCAAGTTTTAGTTTTGAATCCTTGTCATCCTTTCCATAAAATGTGCGAAGCAGTTTAATAAAACTGCAATGATGTGGAGAGTTGTGCACATCCATTGTTGCTTGCAAGACGTCTTTGTTGTTGATTATTACTTCTACAGGGTGGACGTCAGTAGACAGGGACGATAGTAGACTCAGTTCAACTAGTCTTAACGGGCTCATGAAACTATCAATGTTTTTTTCTTCTCTAAACAATTCCAAAACCTCGCAGTTGTGCAAAAAAATGGCCAACTCTACTGAAGTTTTAAAAATATCTTCCTCATCCCAACTTCTTTTGGCGAGAAGCTCCTTTGTCAGGTTAACGTCCCCAAGAAATACGGCGCTATGAAGAAGAGACCAACCCTTACGAATTACGAAGGTTGATATCGAATCCTCTGATATGATATTTCGAATTTGTTCGTCAGCGTCTTTGCAATGGACAAGGAATGAAGGATCCAGATAATCAATGATTCTTGGAAAGTCACCAGATTTTTTACAACCGGTAATATTTATGTGGTGAATTTTTGGACAAAACCAACAAAGAATGTTGAGCACTCCGAATGGCCACTTCTCCACTGCCGCTTCGTCGTCAAAGGTGCTTTCTCCAATTATGGCCGTGGTAGCATTTGGCACCTGTCTACACTTCTCTACGTAATCCTTACAAGAACGACAGCGAGCGTGTGCAAGATCGATCTTCGTCTCCCCTTGATTTGATGGATTTTCAATTTCCATTTCATCCTTTGCCTTTATCTCGTCCGTCAAATTGACCATTTCTAAGAAGTGGGAATCGTTGTCTATGAAGTTCTCGACGCCCTGTGAACCTAACTCAGTTTCAACAACAATATCGTGTAAAGCAGTAAAGACTATGCCAGTTCGTTGTCGCACCTCTCTCTCCATGCTACTCAGCGTCATTGTCTGATGTTTAGAGGCTTTAAGCAAATCCAGCAGCAGAAGGTCAAGAATGAAATGATACTCTTGTCTGTAATCCTATGATAACGAGAAAAAAATGTTATAAATGGAAGGTAATTAACAACCGCAACGAATGGATCTTCTCATTTTCACAGATATGGAAAGAAAAGCTAAAAATCCAAACAGGTCTTAAATTATCATCCTGATTCTGATGTTACTTCAAATTAAACAAAAGTTCGAACTTACCATTTTATTTGGTTCATTAGCACGAAGAAATTTCTCTGAAAAATATGATGAAGTATTTGAAAATTAAGTACACCCAGAAAACTTTAAATGGTTTATTGTGCTATATATCACTCTATTTGTATTGAAAGTGGGTACTATTTTTACACAAACTATTTATGCTTTGATACCTTTCCCGTTCATTTTTTCATACCAGTATCACTATCCCCCGTAAATAGAATGAATCATGTAGAACTACCTTTCAGCTTTTCAAGTCTTCTTCAAGCGTGTCAAATAGTTTCTCGAAAGTGATAAAGTTTTGCAAGAACTTTCACTTTTTTTCCCTCTTTCTTAAAAAGTAAGTTATCTTCTAGGTAAGAATAGAGAATCAACTAAGAGCTACTGCAATGAAATTTCAAAAACCAGGTTGAAGCAATAAAGTAAAACAAACCTCGATATACAAAGCCGTCATCTCTAATAGCGACGACGTTATCGGTGTCATCTGGTAACTGTTCTTGACATTGCACTAAGAATGAAGAACAGCTGGCTTTAATGATAGCAGTAATTCAAGTTCTGAATAACCCACGTGTTCTTTGATTACATGCAAAGGCCTGTAAAATTATCTGAAAATCCTGGTGCGATTGTTGTGAGCCTTGGTTTGTCATATGCTGCAAGACCACACATTTATTTTTACCTTTGGAGAGATGTGTCCTTGACCGTTTTAATAGGGTATGATCGTTGTACGATAATCCTCATCGCTATTCGTGTTTGGGTTTTTCCTAGACCTTGCTGACAGTCCTCAATGGGAAGTTTTGTTTAGGTTTTAGTTCTTGAAGATTGGTTGTGTTTCAAGTACTTTGTTGCTCATTTCGAATGTCTTGTTTTGGATAGCTTCCTCTTTTGTTGCGGTTATAGAAAGGAGTCATCTAGTTATTCATTTATATGGCCGGACTAGGTTTGAATTCTTTGCGAGGAAGGCTAGTACCGATTTAATAGGGTTTTGAATATTCTGTGGATGGAGCAAAGACCGATCGAGGGGCCGTGAGCTAATAACATGCTCCGGCCCAAATGAAACGAAGACTGGTGAACTGTTACGGAAAAGTTTACATCCTTATATTTGTCATGAACACATTGGTAAAAGCAAAGTTTTATCATCTGGAAAAAACTTTAATAGCCTAGATTCATCACGCGATACATAGGTCCTCCCTTCCTGACACAAGAAACAGTGGCTGTGAAGACTGTTTCTGATAAAAGGGAACTTTTTTATAACCCGTGTCGCAAGCAGTTCACTCAGTTGATCTCTCGGAATATCGGACGTTCTCCCAGACCTGAGGCTTTTGTAAGCTGTAGAGTCACCAGTCCTTTACGGTTTGGTAAAAAAGGCTCGAAGGGCTTAGCTAACATCTCTCTTGTAGGGGACGAAGATTAAGGTTTTTTTTTCTAATGATCAGGATACAGATAAGAAAGCTAGTAAGCAAATTTCCTTGATCGTGCTATCCTGTTAACGTTCCTTTTCGAAATATTTTTGTTTTGAATTCAGGAATTGAATGACAAGAGGACGAGTTGCTTTCTTCAAGAAGTTTATCGGTTTCCGAAGCCTCGACCTTTTGCACCAGCCACAGTTTTCGTGGTTCACGTCTAAATATATTGGATGTGTCCATTTGACTCAATTCGTCATCAAAATCACAAAATAGTCGTTCAATGAGCGCGCACCCAAAGTGATTTACACACATTACTAGAA